GAAAAATAGGGTTAACCTGATTCACATTTCATGAACAAATGTTTGGATTCGATCATTAGTGTCACTCAGCGCACAAATCTAAATCTTACAACATGGTTACGTAATCTTGTAACTTGGTTCAAAAATAATATGTCAGTGCCCCTTAGACCAAAACTGTGGTTAAAGTAATAATACAGTACCAAAATTTGTGCACAAAAAGAAAAAATGGATTTTCACACAGTTTATCTTAAATGTCACACTGGAAGAGTGTTGTGACAATACATCTTGGACAGCCACAAATGATAAGGACTGGTTTATCCATCACTACATGTACTGACTGTGTTTCATAGATTCAGCTCAGGACAACATAACACAGTCTCCTTTATAGTATTTATACCCATTTCCTTGGTATTAAAAACCTAATGAAATGTTGAAAACATGACAATCTTTGGGTAATGTTTGCCATTTTGTTTTTGTTTCTTTTTTTAAAAAAATCTCTACATTTTTTGGGTAGACCTGATTGTGTGAAAATGAAATTACGACGAGATGGAGACAGATGTTTGTAGCAATTTCGCTTGCATTGTTTTTCCTCATTGTATTGTTAAACATAACACTGCAGTCTCTCTGCAGATGTTAGCCTAGCTTTATTATCTACTAATAGGTTGTATTGAAAGGTGTCAGATGTGACATAAGTGTTTCAGTTGTCCTTCTTTTATGACATGTCTGTCAGAATACCCTGGGCTCATGGAGACTGGTACCATAAAGACACATTTAAAATAATTGTTGTTGCCATTCCATTGATGTTGGAAGAACACATCTACGCTCTTAGCATAATTGAACATATAAAATGGATGTTTACATATGTTACCGCTGCAGATCTCCTGTGAAAATACTTCTCCACTTTGTGAAAAGAGGTGAGGGATTTCAGCTGTAAAAAAAATTGGACTAACAGGGATGCGATCTTGTGCATTGGGATTGTGCACAATAAATCTGTAATATTTTTAATCATTTTAAATTCGAAATGGGAATATGAAATTGACACACAGGTAGAAACCTTACCTACAAAATGTACATGCAACCATATACCTTTGGGAGAGTTGTGTAAAGAAATTAAAATACGGGGGTTAATTAAGTTTCATTAATCACAATGACATTGTGAAGTGGTATGTATAACATCCAGATTTTTTTTTCTTGAACATTCTTTTTGTAAAACAAAATAATCATTAAGAAATGGAGAACAGAGCACAGTAATTAGCGAGCACACAGCAATGGCATTGATTTGGGAAATGGTTGTTTAAAATGTCTTGACCTAGAACATGAACATTTCACTTAACACAAATGAGGCTTCAATTGGAACGCTAATCAGTCGCATAATCATTCAAACTCACAAAGCCATCATTAAAAAAAAAAAGCCATATAAGTGAAGTGAGATAGTGGGAGAGGTGATTGAGAAATATGAAATTGTTAGGATGGTGAGCTTAGGTCAGAAAATGAATGTAATCTTTCTCTCTCATGGAACAACATTTGCACATGAACATCGAACTTGACTGATGCAGCCAATGCAGTCCTAGGCTGTATCAATAGAGCGATAGTATCAAACTCACATGAAGAGTTAGTTCTTTATATAGCACTGGTAAGACCACACCTGCACCCAGTTTTGGTCACCATGATACAAAAAGACTCTAGAACAGGGGTGTCAAGCTTGATTTCATTAAGGGCCGCATCAGGGTTGTGTTTGACCTCAGGAGGCTGGGGTGGGCGTGGCTGGGTGGATGTGGCCTGCTCAAGGTCACTCATGTCAGGGGCACCTGTGGTGGTCCAAGGGCTCCTGAGCTCTGTTTTCAGCTGCAACAGCCTCCTGCAACCTTCTGCCATCAAAAATGGCCCCTCCCGAGCTCCCTTTTCATTGGCAGAGGCACCGTGGGCTGGTCCTTTGCTGTTTCCAAGGTGGCCCCGTGGGCCAGAACTAAGCACCCCAAGGGTGCCTTGAGTTTGACACCCCTGCTGTAGAAAGAGTGCAGAGAAGAGCAACAATGATGATGAGAGGATTGTACGATGACCTGCCTATGTCTAGTCTAATGAAGAGAAGATCTAGGAGTTACACAATAGCAGTCTTACAATATTTAAGAGGCTATCAGAGAGAAGAGGAGGTTGACAAACTCCAAAGCACCTGAGGGCAGGACAAGAAGTATCAGGTGGAAAGCTTATCAAGGAACGATTCAAATTTGAATTAAGGAGACATTTCCTGATGGTGAGATCAATTGATCAGTGGAACAACTTGCCTCCAGAAGTTGTGAGTGCTCCATCACTGGAGGTTTTCAAGAAGTGAGTGGACAGCCATTTCTCTGGAATGGTATAAGACCTCCTGCTTGAGCAAGGGTTGGACTAGAAGACCTCCAAAGTCCCTTCCAACCCTATTATTCTATTATTCTGATGTGTGATTTAGAAAAGACAAAACAACAAAGTAATGGGGATTGCAAACTTGATTACCTTCCAAAGGGAGTTGGCAGATCCTTGGAGGGTGAAGCCATCAAAACTTAACTATCCATATTTTTTTGGCGAATAGTATCGTGTCCTGAAATCCATCTGAGTAAAGAATCTAGAAATGGATCCTAAGGCTTACATATACTTTTAGAACTGCACTTATTTCTTCTGGCTGTCATACTGTAACCAAACTGTGTATCTCAAATTACTACCTTCAGCTTAATGTCTTGTAATTTCATCTCCCCAAATTCTTAGGTTTAGGAAGAAATTATCTGTTTGAAGGAATATTGCTACAGGTTAGGCAGCAATAGAAAATGGGACTTTCCTGGGCCTCAGAGGCACCCACATCCCTGAGACTTTTGCCTAAGAAAGCTTTGGATGCCTAGACTAAAGCATTTTGAATACGTCTCCTGATCACAGACGCTACATTTTATGCTAAAGATTTTACCCCTATGCTGAAATTGTATGTCTAAATTATCCAAAACATTATTAACGGTTTTCAATGTTAGAAGGTTTTTTTTAAAAAAATATATATTAATTTCTCCTCCAGTTAATATAGCTTGTTGTGATTTTGCTTTACGTTAATTTGTTGTGGCATATCTATATTTTACATTGTGTGCCTTTAATTGGAAACTGTCTCGGGCAACAGTTTTGAAAAAAAAAAGCAGGGTGCAAATACTTTAAGCGTGTTCCATAAAAAGAAGAGCCACAATTTGAAGTACCTCAGAAAGCTGATGCCACTGCAGTAGTGTGCTCACTGAAATGTACAGTCTCCCTCCACAAAAAATACATTTATACACTCAAATAGGCCCCAAGCTATTGTACAGCAATTCTGATTGGTTGTTTAGTTCTTTGAAGGGTCCAATGCTGCTCTGAGGAAAATCTGCCTTCATTTTTCTTCTGGGCAGCTCCTTTTTTTACTATTAGTATTATTATTAAAACAAGATTTTACAAAGAGTTAAAAGCTGCAGAAATGTAGAGGACACGTTCTTTTTAATCTTTTTATCTCTCTCGGTTTGAGCAACAAGAGCTCTTGATTAATTAATAATGACAAAATTGATTTATTAGCTAGGTTCTCTTTAGTGAATTGGTTAAATAAGGGGAAAAAAGAGCCTTTTTTTTTAATGACTATGCCTAGGAAAGGAAACAGTACTTTTGAAGAGAAAAAAAATCTTGCGTTTAGGGCAGCGATGGCCAACCTTTTAGACACCGAGTGACCAATTGCGCATGCCAAAACTGAAATGTGTGAGAATGCGTGAGCATTCATGCATGCGCAAACATGCATGGACATGTGCATGCTCGGACAGGCACATGCATGGACATATGTGTGCATATGTGTGGACATGCACGTGCATGCATGGACATGCGTGCATGCACAACAGAGACCCGAAGAATAGCTAACGGCGGGAAGGCAGGGCATCCCAACACTGGCAGCGCAGCAAGAGGTAAGATCTTTTTCTTTTGCGAGCTTCTGTTTCGGTGTTTGCAGAGAAACAGAAGCTCACAAAAGAAACACCACGGAGATCTGACCTGGGGCGAGGGCTCTGTGTGCCAACTCTGGCATGCGTGCCATAGGTTTGCCATCACGGGTTTAGGAGATTATCTACTTAATGCTGGAGGCTTTTCCATGGAAGAGGTGTCGTTCCTTATTTATCTGCGTCTTGAAGATACTGCAGGACAGCGGTTCTCAACCTGTGGTCCATGATATCATCACAGGGTATCCATGAATACTTGAAGAAATGTGATGGTTTAAATTTTGAGTTACGTCTTGGGGGTCGGTGGCCACAAAAGGGATTTAAAGGGGCTCCATGGTGAAGAAAAGTTTGAGAACTACATCTGTAGGAGGCAATTGAAGGAAATATACCTGCTGAATGTATCAGTTAATTGGAGGCACACTTTTCACTAAAAGCTTTGCTCTGTTACTCACAATTAATAATGGAATCCTACCTAGTCTTAGTTTATGTGCAAAGCAATGTTGAATGGTTTAAAATTATATCCATTTAATATGATCAATAAAAATAATAATTTGGGTAATTCTTCCTATGCAGGAAGTCTCCTATCATTATTTTATGTCATATCAAGGTTTGCTTGTGGTCTTGACAAATTTGTCTCACCTATACCAGATCCAAGCATCATAAAGTTATATGGTGTGTGGATCTGGCATCATAAAAAGCCAGTTGAAATCATGATGAAAGCCACCAACTTCAGAGATTGTCAGTGCTTTCTCCATCACTGGTTCTACTGCACGGTCAATGGTTCCTCTGAAATTTTTTCAAGAGACAACTGAGGCTTTCTTGATTTTCTTTGAAGGCATTGAGCTTCTCATCCAAGTAGCTTCTTCAGCTCAAGAAACTTCTTCAATGAGAAGTGAAACATCTTCAGAGAAAAAGTCCAGTTGCCTCCTGGAAAAGCATCTTTGGGACAACCATGACCTGGGTTACTAAGAATCCCCATAGATGGTTCATTGGAAAGTTAATGCATTGTATTTCTCTATTAAAGTCACCTCCTTTCCTCCCCACCCCATTATCTCCCTATAGATACATAGAGTATTGGAAGAATTTGCAGACTTTGCATGCCGTAGATATGGAGCTGTACACGGGACTCCAGAGATTGTGAGTATTGTGTATTGTTTAATGAGTGTCTTTACCTCAGTTTGAGAGAACAAGCAAAGCTTGACCAGGTCTCTGTTCTTTTCCACTATCATCAGAAATCATAGGTAAAGTATGTTTCTAGTATGAATATTTTACATACTCATTGGGCTTAATACCAAATATTCTTGTGGTTCAATATACACAGATAAACTTGGACTTAGAAGTGTTTCACTGAATTGCAAAATGCACATCACCCACCTTTTGGCCTCCTCCTGCCATTTTCTGAAATGAAGTGTTATCGTAGGTTTCATGAAGGGAGTTGAGCTTTTGCTGAGGTGGCATCTTCTCACACCAAATAAGCCAACATTAATAGGTGAGCAATTAAATTTGGTTCTGGAACTACAGATCCATAACAGATCTCCAAAGGTGAAGTTTACAGATTAGTGGGCCTAACTGCAGCTGGGATTAGATGACGAAAGAAAATAGAATCTCCATTTGTTTCATGTAGCTGGTCATTCTGATAATTCGTCCGGTGCAGAATTTGTAATTTTGGTTCAGATTTGGGTGGCTTGGACAGAACAGTTTGCTTCTTGTAGACCAGTTTGTTTCATTGGATTTTGGTGGATTAGAAGGTAACCTACCTTCTAATCATCTGCCCTGAAATTGCATATGGGACTTTATAAAACACCCTAAAACAGGGGTCTCCAAACATGGCAACTTTAAGACGTGTAGACTTCAACCCCATGAATTCCTCAGCCAGCTTCTGAGAGTTGAAATTCCACATATCTTCAAATAGCCAAGGATGGAGACTCCTAGAGATTCCCATAGCTGGGAATCCATGTCCATACTGAGCACGATGCTGTGACTCAGCCTGTTATCAATTTCAGGCTTATCAATTTCAATTTCCTATTCCGAGAACTTCCATTTTAAATGTTTCTCAGGGATTTAAATTTGTCAAATGCCTTCTGTCAAGAAAGCAAATCTTACGGTAGCTGCCTCTCCCCACAAGTCAACACACACACACACACAAAAAGCAATTTTGCTACGTTATTCTGAAACTTACCCCCGAGAAGCGAATGTCCTCTGTGGGATTTATCTATGCGTGCTTGGAAAGTGGCTTACTCAGAATGTCTCTAAATTTAGTGCTGGAATTGTGATTGTGTCTCTGTGTTTCTGCTAGTGAAGGGTTTTTTAAAACAAAAATCAAAGGAATAGATATAGACATATTCCCTTACAGGAGGAGAAAATAAAATGTAGTAACCGATACTCTTATAAAGCATATTTGTTGTGTTAGGAACAATCAGAAACACATTTACGTCTTATGAGACATTCTATCAGAAAAGTTCTATTTGAAAATGGCACTCTAGGAGAATGAATTTGTTTGCGAGACCTTTAAAAAGGTGAGTGTGTGCAAGTCACAATTTAGACTTTCAGCTGGATGTTGCCATTGTTTTACTTGCTGATAACTGTTAATTTTATCATATTTCTGACTCTTATTTGATGGTTATTGCTGTGATTACTTTTCCATTTTTTAATGGCCTACTTAAAGAATTATAAAGAGGTAGGATGTATGGAGCTCACTGTTCGTTGCAAGTATTTTATTATATATTATTATTATTATTATTATTATTATTATTATTATTATTATTATTATTATTATTATTTTGCCGGATTTGGCATTGGTTACTAGTCGGGCCCCACCCAGGGGCCTAGGACGTCGTAACGTATTTTCGTAATATGCGTGCAGATCCAAGCTTTTTNGTCACTTACAGTAAGTTCATATGCGAGTAAAGGCAGGTGAGCGAATACTTTTGGCAATATAGTGTATGTACCAAATTTCAAGTTTGTAGGCTTTATAGTTCTGGGGATGTTGTGATGAGTGAGTGGTATTTGGCTTTTATATAGAGAGATTATTTATGAAGGGAGTAATGTGAGACAAGGTTGAAGCTGCCATATGTAAAGATGATTGAGGAAAACTGGAATGTTTCCTACCCTATTTTCTGGATACCTGCCCTTAACACAGTTGAGAGCAGGAAAATTCTACCAGCTGACTAAACAGCTCCATTATGTTCTAGGTTTTGAGCATCTACATGTTTTGTAATTTTAACCTTGGTTTCTCTGAATCAGATTTCCTTAATCAAAATACTGAGACAGTTGCTGCTTTTAAGGCTAAAACAAAATGGGGAGAGTGCCAAGAAGCATTGACAAAAGGAGCAAATGAAACAGTCCAATTTTCATGACATTCCAAGGGAAATGACAAATAACAATCACAAGATCAAATCAGGCTTCCTGCCCAACATGTCTGAGAACCGTTCTTTTATCAGGGACAATGTTTGCTATTTTAGTGTTCTTTGTTTTTTGTTTTTTAAATGATAGCATCTTGATATTTGCCTTTGCCAGAGCAGTTAAATTGGATTATTGTGACCTACATCATGGAGAGGTGAAATGCTACCAGTTGAGACTGGTTCGCCCGAACTGGTAATAAAAAAAGCTACCGATTCACCGGAACCGGTGGTAAAAAAAAAATGCTACTGGTTCAGGCAAGCCTGTATTTCTGATGATCAGCTGTGATGTACAATTTATATTAGCTAGAAAGTAGGATTTCCTGCTTTCTAGCTAATCTAAATTGCATGGCACAGCAGATTCCCCGCCCTTGCTGTTCTACTTACCTTTGCAGGTGTGCTCAGTAGCAGGCTCCACCCACCTGCCCGGATGTCATCACATCTGTTTTTGATGCTCTGTGCATGCGCGGGAAGTCTTGCGCATGCATGGAGGTGGCACATGATCACATTTGCAAAACGGTAGTGAAGGTGAGTAGATTTCACCCTTGACATAATGGTTGGCATTTTTGAGCAGCCTTTAAAGATACATTTTAAAAAAGTGGTCCAGAGCTACAGCAGATTGGGAAATAATATGAGAACATTGAAGCAGAGTTCTGACAAGAGGTAGCTGAATAACCAATTTTGTTGTATTTATTTTATACAATGACAATAAAGGCTATACTAATACTGAAGAGGAATTTGTTGGGACTGTAGATCAGCAATAGCAATCGTGCTTAGACTTATCTACTGCTTTACAGTGGTTTACAGCACTTGCTGAGAGGTTTATAGAGTCAGCCTCTTGCCCCCAACAATCTGGGTCTTCGTTTTACTGACCTCGGAAAGATGGAAGGCTGAGTCAACCTTGAGCCAGTCAGGATTGAACTCCTGGCAGCCAGCAGAATTAGCCTGCAACCTTACAGTCTAACCACTGCGCCACCAAGGCTCTTAGATAGTAAGTTCTAGCATTCTTTTCTGTGATAATTGAAGGCTCCATTCACACAACAAAGTCCTCTCGCTTGTTGAATTAACCCATTTTGGAATCTGCAGAATATATTGAATTAAAAGCTAACATCATATTGTTGCCCAATATATTAAGCTACAAAAAAGCCTGACCCAGAACTGAGCCTATGAAATAAATTCAGCTGCTGGGTTTTTCATTAACCCAATTAAGTTGAAGAGTGTTACATAGCATATCTTCCTTCAAATATAGTTTCGGGGGGAGGGGGGGAAGAGCCTCAGATAACTTACATTTCCTATGATTGTTTTAGAACCAGCCTTTTTTAAACTTTCATACTGGACATACTGGCATCCGTGCTGCGCCTCTAAACTAGTGTATGTGCTGTTTATTCAAACACATACACCTACTTTTTTCTTCACTGGCACACGCCAAGGGAGGCTGAGTTTAGAAACACTGTTTTTCTAATTGTGTGTTTGTGTGTATGTATGTGGTTTCTAGTGTGCATTTCACCTGTGTGTGCCTAGTCGAATGTGGCTTTTAAAGTATGGCTTTATTGTTTTTACACTCGCCCTGAATTGGAGTGGCTGCTGACAAGCATCCATTTGGCTTTTCCAATATTCCGTTAAGTGCCGGAGCAGTTTGAAATGTGGATGTCCTTTGACTGCTGGGAATGAAGCGACCCATAATTCCCTTGACCTGTGTGGGCAATTGAGGACAATTGGTGTGAAGAAAGTTGTTCCAGTTAACCAGGCTTTTATAATGGCGCCGCCTCTCAGCAGCGTTTTCTCAGCTGGAGTCTCTAAAAAGGCTTTGAGAATTGCAGATCTTGTCCGAGAGAGAACAGGCAGGTGTTTATATCTGACCCATATTCAGCAAACGTTAGGTGGTGGCGGCTGATTCCACGTGGGGCTGAAAACCTGTGGAGGCTTGGAATGAAGCATCAATTTGTTGCAACCAATTTCGTTGTATTTATTTTGTACAATGACAATAAAGACTATACTACTAATTGACTCTTTAGGAACTCAATTCGCCAATAAAGAATATTTGTAGGTCAAGGTTGAAACGAGGGGTCCTTGGTGCTAAATACAGAATAACAAAGTTGGAAGGGACCTTGGAGGTCTTCTAGTCCAACCCCTGCTTAGGCAGGAAATCCTATACTACTTCAGACAAATGGATATCCAACATCTTCTTAAAAACTTCCAGCGTTGGAGCATTCACAACTTCTGGAAGCAAGTTGTTGCACTGATTAATTGTTCTAACTGTCAGGAAATTTATCTTTAGTTCTAGGTTGCTTCTCTCCTTGATTAGTTTCCCTACTTAAATCACTGCAAANTATTATTATTATTATTATTATTATTTGGAAATAGAAATCCAGTGGATAAATAAACCAGCAACATTTAAATAAGCATGTACAGTACAGTACTTTTTTTTTAAAAAAAGGGAGACATAGTTTATTTATTATGTTTATTTATTATGTTTATTTGCTGAAATTGTAAGTTACTATAAGCCATAAGAAAATGATGGAGAGATGGAAAATAGTACTTGGATGCCTGGCACGGATTGCTATTCATTTTCCATCAAGATGTTTGGTCACTGATTGCAATTTTCAGTTGCTTGGGAACCAGCTGCTGCTCAATGACAGAATGCTCTCTTGGCCTACACAAGTCCTGCTAGAGACACGGAAGTCAGACAAAAAAATAAAACCCAGTCTGAAACATGGATTTGATTTAGACCTATAATAT